ATCTGGAACTGACGCTGACGCTGAATTCGTTCTTTCAACCGGACTGGCTTCATGCGTTCACAGAATTCTCAAATCTTAGGAGTTTGACGTTGAACAACGGGCACGTACGAGTTCTCAAGTCAATCAGAAGCTGCTGTCAACAGTTGCACCGGTTGGTGTTGAAACGGTTTGCCTTCAACCTGCCCCTGGATGATCTGTTGAACTTTCCGGAGCTGGAAGAGCTGATCATCGATGAGTTGGACATCTTCCCGTGGTTCATCGGAGAATCGCAAATCGCATTGCCCAACCTGAGACACCTCACGATGTGCATGCTCGTTAAGATCGACACGGAGGAGTTGAACATTCCGCCCATCACCATTCGGGCCCCGCTGCTGGAAAGTGCTCGCTTCTCGGACCTGCTGCACCACTTTGTCCGATTGGAGACCGGCGGTGATCGGCTTCGGACGTTTACGCTGAGTGTGGTCTCGATGCCGGGGAGTTTCTTCTCACCGATAATGTTCCACGGCCGGTTGACGAACGTCACGACGGTCACCATCGAAACGCACTTCCTCAGGGGATGCCATCTGGTGATGGCACTGGCCTGGGTCAAACAGCAATGCCCAAAGGCTTCCCGCTTGGTGTTTGTCCAGCAGGACGAACCACCCCTGGAGGAGATACGGTCGTTTGCTGCGACGGAGATACCGAACCTGAAGCAGATTGTTCATCAACGGCCGAGGCAATAGAATGTGATTTTGGCGCATTTTAACTTATGAAGATTGTACAACACTTATTTCTTATTAATACTATTGACTTAACATGTACAACTGCTTTATGAAATAAATTGAATTATTTTTATCATTGGGATTTTTTTATTATAGGACAGGTTTGGGCCGAAGGGTCTCAGAATTTTATGCCCACACATATGAACGATTTTGTTGTTGTTATTGAGGTGGATATTTTCCCGGAAAAATTTAGTTGACACATTATTTTCATTCAGTAATCGAATACATCCGAAGCGAAAAATTATTCAGTAACAAAATGTAATGACGCGATGTGCTAAAAATTCCACACAATCTGAGGAAGATTTCAAGAATTGAAACCGGTGCATAATTCCTTGGAAATTTGAGGAGAATGCTGAGCTCAGTCGGTAAAGGCACAGCTACAAAGCAAGACCATGCTGGAGGTGGCTGGGTTCGATTCCCGGTCCGGTCTAGGAATTTTTCGGGTTGGAAAATTTCTCGACTTCTCTGGGCATAGAGTATGATTGTACTTGCCACACAATTATACTAATGCAAAAATGGTACAGGCATCGAAAGCTCTCAATTAATAACTGTGGAAGTGCATCTAGAACACTAAGTTGAGAGCACGCAAAAAGCTAAAATGCCATACGCAATAAGCTTGAAAAGCGAGGAAGAAGAAGAAGCTTAGGGGTGGGGTTATGCCAAAAGGATGATTACAATTAAATCTGAGAATAACTACAGGAGAAATCTTAGGAAATTGTGAGGAGACCCACGAATGAATTCCTATGAAACTTTCAAAGGAAGGAGAGAATTGAAATGAACTCAATTAACATTCTGAGAATGATTCCAAAGGGTTTCTTACTGAGAAGAATTTCATGGTAATTCCGAGGAAAACCTAAAGACAATTTACTTCGGAGGATGGTTCCAACGTGTTTAATAATATTTCAAGGAGATTGGGAAGAAGTATTCGAAAGAAATTCCGGTAATATTTTTAGAGAATTCAATACGGAATTCAAAGCGAATTCTGAGACGAGTTTCAGAAAATTTGTGGAATTTCTACAATAGTTCCATGAGAACTTCGAGAGAATACAAAGTGAACGCTGAGGAGAACCCCAAGTGAGTTTTTAGAAAAAATCTCCTAGTTTATTCTAAAGTCTTCAGAACTACTTGAAGTTTCCCAAAATTTCCCTGAAGTAAATTGAACTGTCTTGAAGTTCTTTTGTAGTTTGAGAAACCAGCCGTGTTGCGAGAGGCAACAGTTGGACAGGGGATTTCTTCCGTAAATATAATACCAGAGCCCAAAATATAGGAATTCGTAGAGATATTATAATTTTCCTGTAAATAGGTTACACAGTATATATTTGTAAGTGTGTTCTATAATAATTTTATTTGCATGTATGCGATCGTTATCGGTGTAAGCTCTAGCTGTAAATTTGGTTTGTAATAAGTATTTCATTTGACTCACGTTTAGTCCCCTTTCTGTAGTTGTTTGATTTTAGCTGTTTTTGAGAGTAGAATGCGACAAGCTGTAATGTTTGTATCATTTAGATTTTGAAGAAATTCTCTTTCATTTAATTTCTTACCGCGATTACAACTCTGTAGGCTAAAGGGTGATACGGTCAAAATTTGGTCAAGGGAAAACGCGTGTAAATCGGTGAAATCGTTTATTTAAAAAATCAAATTAAATTTCTTTTTCATGTTCAATTAGTATAAAATTCAGGAAAAATATTCAGTTAGGCTTCCGCTTTTCCAAATCCGAATTGCCGGGCCTTACGCTTGACTCCTGCCATCAGATTTTGTACAGCCACCTTGTCCACTTTCTTCGCCGCAGAAAGCCAGTTTGCCTTGAACTGCTGCTCGCCCTTAGCAGTTTTTTTAATCTTCTTTAGGTTCCGCTTGACAATAGCCCAGTATTTCTCAATTGGGCGGAGCTCTGGCGTGTTGGGAGGCTTCTTGTCCTTGGGAACCACCTGCACGTTGTTGGCGGCGTACCACTCCATGGCCTTTTTACCGTAATGGCAAGATGTCAAATCCGGCCAAAACAGTACGGAACAACCGTGTTTCTTCAGGAAAGGCAGCAGACGTTTATTCAAACACTCTTTCACGTAAATTTCTTGGTTGACAGTCCCGGAAGCTATGAAAATGCTGCTTTTCAAGCCACAGGTACAGATGGCTTGCCAAACCAGATATTTCTTTGCGAACTTTGACAGTTTCATGTGCTTGAAAACATCTGCTACCTTTCCCCTTCCTATTGCCGTATAAAACTCCTGTCCCGGAAGCTGCTTGTAGTCGGCTTTGACGTAGGTTTCGTCGTCCATTACCACGCAGTCAAACTTCGTCAGCATCGTCGTGTACAGCCTCCGGGATCGCGCTTTGGCCGTCGTATTTTGTTTATCATCGCGATTTGGAGTCACTACCTTCTTGTAAGTCGATAGTCCGGCTCGTTTTTTGGCTCGATGCACGGTTGTAGACGATACACCCAGCTTATTTGCGGCATCTCGGAGAGAAAGGTTAGGGTTTCGCTTGAAACTACCGGCAACTCTCTTTGTCGTCTCAGCGGCTTCCAGTTTTCGATTTCCCCCCGATCCAGACTTCCTGGCTGTCGACAAACGTTCCCCAAACACTTTAATTACATTTGTAACGGTTGATTTGGCAACTTTTAGCGATTTTGCCAACTTTGCGTGCGAGTAGCTCGGATTTTCGCGATGCGCGAGCAAAATTTTGATACGCTGGTCTTCTTGCTTGGACGGCATTTTGACAACTGAAGAGTGAATTCCAAAATCAAAATAGGAGCAACATTCTACACACACACACCATCAAAATGAGGGGTGTTCAGGTTTTTTAAATGCAAAATTGAAAGAAATACGTCAAGTTGATATTGACCAAATTTTGACCGTATCACCCTTTAGTTTTTAGGTTAGATAGTGGCTCAATAGAGCAGTAGTGCCCTAGAAGCTATTAATTCAGGTTTAGGATAGTTATAGGTTCAATTTAATTTAATTATACTCACTAGATTAGGTAATGTAATGTAAGTATAAACTATTATTTAATATTAATCCCTTTTATGGAAAACTCTACATAATTTAGTATTAAGCACAAATCGTATACCGCACGGCCTTTTAGATTTACTTGGCTATATGGCCATTGTTTTTAGTTATCTGACACTTACCCCAACCGATGGTATACCTACACGCTATTTCAAAACAACCCAAATTTGGGTAGAATCCACCCAGAACGGTCAAAACTGAACCTACCCAAAAATGGGTAATGAAGTGACAAGTTGACAAAAGAAGAACATCGACATGAATCCGATCGACGTTGTTCATTTGTCAACTTGTCACATCAAACACAGTTTACCCATTTTTTGGTAGGTTCAGTTTTGACCGTTCTGGGTGGATTCTACCCAAATGGAAACTGATTCTCCGAAAGTGTATGGCTAACGTCACATTACGAGTTTGCTTCAAAATCAAATTTTGTACAAGTGTTAAGTGTTATTGGGTGTATGTTCAAGTTCTCGAAACTTATTTTAAAATTTATGTTATTTATCTAAAGAACATGGAACTGCCATGAGGTTCTTTGTTCTTTCCTGAAATTCTAGAAACCTCTCGAACCGTTTTGCAGTTCTTCTGAATCTTGTAGTACTGCCAAGAATTTAAATAAACTGTCCTAAAAATGTCTAAGATTCCGTGAAGTTCACTGAACTTATGTGAAGAACTCATTATTGTGGCCAGGGTCCACTGGCATGGAGGGAAGAGTTGGCGATCAAACGTCGTCAAAATAGATAAGCGGATTAAGAGTGGATTCCAAGCCGGAGATAACTGTGTAGCTTTGATACATTCTGTTGCAGAGCTTCTCGGGTCGGTTAATCCGGGGCACGTTCATCGCTTTACGGACGGATCGCGGTCGCGGGCTGGAGTTAGACTCGGAGTGGCAGAACCGAACACTGCAACGAGTCAAAGTCTACCGGAGGAGTCTTCCGTTTTTTCCGCTGAAGCCGCAACTATTCTAGACGCAGCCATAACTCCGGAAGATCAACCGATCCTCGTGTTAACTGACTCACACAGCGACATCCAAGCGCTGGAAGCCGAAGCCCCGAGCCACCCCTGGATACAAGTCATTACACGGTACGCCCCACCTTTAACCGTCTTTAGTGGATCCAGCACACTGCGGTTTTCCAGGAAACGAGGCTGCAGACATACTGGCGGGATCTGGTGCATCCTGTCCCCACTACACCAGGAACGTACCCAGATAGACGTCAGGCGTTGGATTGTGAATTCTATTATGGAAGCCTGGCAGCAGGAATGGTTCCAGTCGCGGACCACATTCCTGAGAAAGATCAAGGAAACCGTACGCTCCTGGCTGAACAGCCAAAAGTATAAGGACCAGTGGATCATCTCAAGACTCCGGACTGGCCATGCGAGGATTTCCTGTAATTTCCGCAAGGTTGGTTTAATTTGCGCCTCGGTGGAACACGTGCTGTGTGTCTGCCCGGAGTTCCAGAAGCTACGTGAACAACATGGACTCCCGGAGAACGTCAGTAATCTGCTTGGTTACGACCCCTCGACGTTGGCTGCACTGATCGCCTTTCTGAAGGACGCCCACTTGTATGATCAAATCTAGCCCCCCGTCGGTGGCTGCACTGATCGTGTTTTCCTCACCTTTCTGTTTTTTCTGCCGTTCGGGTTTCTCCGCCGGACCGGGCACTGTCTCCTACGGTGTAGCTCTACCTTGTTCGCGCACCCAGTCCTCACCACAGCCCGATGTAATCCTCACTTTACATTAAGTTTTTAAAATGTTGTCTGTTTCATTCGTTGGGTAATCAGAGCTAGTTATACCTATACGTCACGTTAATTAATGTCAAATTGAAACCTATTTTTTTATAAGGCAGGATCTAGCCTGACCATCTGCTGTATAACGTGATGACCTAGCTTACGGCTAAAAATCACGGTAATAAAGAAAAAAATCATAATTGTTCTTAGCAGCTCTGAAAGTATATGAATACATGGGAATTTCCCTGGAAAATTGGAAAATTCTTAAAATTTACGCTATTTTTCAGAAAATCATGAAACTTTCCTTGAGTTCTCGAAAATTTTTGGAGCGCACGAAACTTTTTAGACATGTTTCCGAATTTCTTCAATGTTCATGAAGTTTGTAGAATTTTCGGATCTTGCCTAAAGTTCCATGGATATCAAATTTTTTATTTATTTTTTGTCTCTGGACTTCTACGAAGCTTTTCATTTTTTTTTTAATGCATTTACTTCCCTAAAATTTCTGAAACTTTTTGAGGTTCCCTTAATTCTTCTGGAATCAAAACCAAATTATTTATATACAAATAGATCTAAGATTTCCAACGAAGTTCTCATATCGATCACCAGTACTCGCCTTCTTGAGGGTGTCCTGTGTACTTGAGACCTGGCCTTCATAAGACTCCCTTCTGTGTCGCAAAATAAAATAAAACCCAAAGATTTTCACAGTTCTCGAGATTTTCCTGAAGCTCATGGAACTACCCTTAAATTATCGACACTATTTCGTAGCTGTTTCAAATGATCTATCTAGACTTTCATGATGTTATTAAAACTGACCAAAAGATTTCAGAATTTATTTAAAGTTCTCTAGACTGTACTGAATTTCCGCTATTTCACTAAAGATCATTGAATTGCCATCAATTTCCCATAATTTTACCTAAAGTTTCGTAAAATTCAGAAACGCTCGCGGAACTTTACCTAAAATCACTATTTTTCCCTGAACTTCTCTGGACATCCCTGAAGTTTTCTATGCTTTTCTGGAATTCCCTAAATATTCATAATTCCTTGACGCTTATGAAGTTCTCATGGAATTCAACACCCAAAATACTAGAATAGTGCAAGAATTGATCGTTGCCAAAAGCACATTTGCTGCGTGACTACAATGCTATTCAAGTTGATTCATTAGTGAAGGCTTTTAACTCGGTTGATTGGAGTTCTTTTTATCACGTTGATGGCTCCAACCTGCAGTTAGAATTTTTTAACAATGTTTTGACGGATCTCCATAACACTTTCGTTCCAATCCGAACTACTATTAGTAATAAAAAGGATAATCCTTGGTTCAATTCTAGCATATGTAGGGCCATCGTTAATCGTGACTTATTATACAAAGAATGGAAATTAAGTAACAACGTGGTTGATCATCATGAGTTTAAAAGAGCACGAAACCACGTAAATAAGATGATACGCACAGCAAAACAAAATTATTTTACTTCTCGTCTTGATCCGAAGGTTTCTCCTAAGGAATTGTGGAAAAATCTCAGGGCACTTGGATTCGGTCAAACAAATGAACAATCATCGAACAGCTTTACGGCTGATGAAATAAACCGTAACTTTATCATGCTACCAATGAAATTCTTAAAAGCTATTTGACCTCTATTAATTGAACCTATAACACACTTATTTAACAAGCGTATTTCCAGATGCTTGGAAGAAATCAAAAATTATACCAATTAAGAAAAAGGCTAATTTGAACACGTTAGAAAACTTGCGACCTATTAGCATCCTTTGCGAACAAAAGTATTTGAAAAAATTGTTAAGATGAACATTTGCGATCACTTCAATAGACACAATCTTCTGAATCAATTTCAGTCAGGTTATCGTTCGAAACATAGTACTAAAACAGCTATGCTCTAAATAATTGATGATATAGGTCTAGTAGTAGACAAGGGTCGCCTGGTTGTTCTAATACTATTAGATTTTTCTAAAGCGTTTGATACTGTGTCGCATAAAATTTTATGTCAAAAACTCAGATTAAATTTTGGTTTTTCCGATCATTCTGCAAACTTGATTAATTCTTATTTAAGTATGCGAAGACAGGCTTTATTTAATAATTTAATATTTATTTCCATAACATCTGGGGTTCCCCAGGGTTCTATTCTGGGGCCAATCTTATTCTTAATGTACATTAATGATCTCCCTGAAGTAATAAAGAATTGTAAATTTCATCTGTTTGCCGATGATGCTCAGGTATACTTTGACTGTGCAAGTAATTCTGTTGCTGAAATTTCTCAGAAAATTAATGAAGACTTGAAGAGGATCCTAGATTGGTCTGTAAAGAATATACAAACGCAATTTTTATTACAAATAGTTCTTTTCAAAATATATTAAAACCTTCATTGCTTTTAGACAATGAAACAATTGAATACGTCGATAATGCTACTAGCTTTGGTATCTGTATTCAATACAATTTTGGATGAGATAAATATGTGGAAAAATTTATGCTTGTTTACGTTCACTTCACATAAAATCATCATTTCTTAGAACTGATGTTAAAATTAAACTTTTCAAAAGCCTCCTTCTTCCTTATTTTTTGGCATGTGATTTTCTCCTCGATGATGTATCTGCTGGTACGTTCAATAAACTTAAGGTGGCTCTTAATTCATGTGTTCGATATGTTTTTAAATTAAGTAGATATTCTAGAGTTTCTCACCTGCAACATCGTCTAATAGGATGCCCTTTGGTAAACTTTGACAAGCTACGCTGTAGTTTATTTTTGCATAGTCTGTCGAGAACAAAACAACCCGAATATCTATACAGAAAATTGCAAACTTCACAAAGCAATCGGTCCATTAAACATATTTTGCCAAGACATCGCACTTCAAAGTACGGGAACTCATTTTTCGTGCGAGGTGTAGTTCACTGGAATTCTTTACCCAATAGTCTAACTAATGTAAATTCGTTAACAGCATTTAAGAGAGGATGTATTGAGCATTTAAGCTGAGTAGTAAATGTAGTTCAGTTTGTGTTACGTATCAATTATTTTTTTGTTTTGTAATATACTTGTGGCGCTTGTTATACTTTGATATAATCGATGTAACAGAAGAAAGACAAAAGTCTTAAGTTACAAAATATAAGTCAATAAATGAAATGAAAATGAAATGAAATTCTGATAATAACAAAATTAGTGTTACAAGCGTACACACATCGCTATCATTTTTATAGTTAATCATAGGCCTACATCCTATTCACACTGTTCATATAACGAGCACGGCATAGTGTGAGTGACACTTGTTAGTGGCGTATTTTTTCCGTCGATCTTGCTTTCCGTTCTGCCCTCAATCATGTGTCTCACACTTAGTTTTGCGCTTATTGTGAAACACATCCATTTCATGTGTGAATCTTATGCTATGAATCATGCCTGAACACTATGGATTTGAATTGTGACACACTTGGATTCTATGTGCCTCATTTGGTGATATCAATAGCTTTGCACATCATACTTCAATATTCTACACTATTTTACTTTATTGACTTCTACTTTACCGACTCTAAAAATGAATCGACAAATATATAAACAAAACTTCCAGAGGCCAGCGCTTTCACATATCTTTTTAATGGGTCTGATTTGGGATTCGATGATGAACTGTAGGGGTGTGCTGCTGCCGGAGTCTTCGTTCGATCTCACTGTGCCTCGGTTGTTCTCATATATGAGGCGGGTTGATATGATAAAGTCACAACTCTTGTTTTCGATGTTTTCCTTTCTGAGCAAGCAATTCACATCGTATTGAAATGCAAAACACATTTGTTTTGAACAGTAGTGTGATTCAATGTGCAATACACTTGAATAGATAGTGAAAGATTTTCAACATTTCAAAGTTTGAAACACTATGAATTAACGTGTTTAACACATTGAATCAAGGTGAAATACATTTAAAGTAAATGTGGTTGTGCATTTAAAACATCAAGTGTTTAAACACTTCGATCAAACGTGTGGAATTTTTTTAGAGTGAGTACCAATGCTACTGATGCCAGGGAGGTAGCTCATACACCTGGACCCAACCACCTATCAACCCATCAACTCATGGACCGAGGATCAACGGCTTTACTTCCCTTCCGAAGGAAGGCGTGATCAGAGATGTTTATGCCTCAGAAAATAACGACGGCGCCGACTGGGATTGAACCCAGGGTGCCTTCCATTCATTTTGACTAAAAAAATGTTTTATGAAATTATGGAATAATAAGATATTATGATGATATTTTGTATATGTAAGTTATAAGAAAAGATTGTAAAGTTTGTGTTTCACACATCAAACCTGCAAATTTAGCTTTGACAGAGTCACAATGAACGTTTTTCTGATAGCCTCTTCGCGAAGAGTGAAGAGCGAAGAGTGGGTGAGATAAATTACAAAATCGCTCATTGCGACTCTCATGTAGCAAAATTGGCAGGTATTTTGTGTCAAACACAAACTTAACAATCTTTTCTTGTTATTTACATAATCAAAATATTTTCATAATATCTTATTATTCCATAATTTCTTAAAACATTTTTTAAGTCAAAATGAATGGAAGGCACCCTGATTGAACCCAGGCCTTTTGAGGAGATCGGCAATCACGCTTGCCACTACACCACTGGTACCAATCGCGTATTTTTGTCGTCCATATTTTGTAAACAGAACATGAAGCAATATAAAGTTTACAGAATTTTCCATTAATTTGCTGAATTTTCCTGAAGTATACAGAATTTGACTGGAGCTATTAAAAAAATTGTTTTTTGTTTCAAAACTTTTCAAAACTTTTCAAAAGATTGTTTTTAAAAATTCGCAGTATTATTTTTTTGTTCCGTAAATTATAAAGAATTT